CACGAATATCAAGGGACAGGACCCGACCCAAGGGGGCGTAACTGGTCGCAGAGGCATGAGCAGCTACTATATCTGCGTGGATAAGTCCTTTACTTGCGTTAGAGAAGCCGATGTTAGGGATAAATCGACGGCTGAGGTGATCATTGTAGACATCATTCAGCTATAGTCACCACCATTTGGCACCTCAGAGTTTATTATGATGTTTATCAACTCACTGTTTCAATTTTTGGTCTATCTTTTGGGAAGCCGCTTCTTTGCGAAGCTTTGCAACGGATCGAATCAGATCCGTAAATACGTTTGTGATCTTCGCCTAGAGGAGCATAATTTGAACGTAGGAAAGGTTGGGCTTCATTTAGATCTGTGCTTTCTGACTGACATATCAGTATGGGGCTAGCAACACTCACGCCGGTCTTAGCCGAGCATTCAAAGAACAGTCCTCCAGTCATGGCAGCCATACGCATTCCATCATCTGGCATGACCGTTCTCTCATCGGATAAATCTACCTTATTCCCAGCGATCACGAAGGGGAAAGGGTAGGCCATTGCGTCTTCTTTGTAGCATGGATCAGTGCGTTTGGTTGAGACATCGTGGCCACTTTTGACATTTGCGATGAGGTTCAAGATTGTTGGCAAGAAATGAAAGGAGTGGGTCGAATTGATTGCGTAGGTGCAAATGAAGGCTTCGCCTTGTGAGACCGCGTGCTCAACCCACAGGCCTCTGTGATTACGCCAACGGTTGGAAAAGAATAATTCAGCCGATTGTATGATACGCCGGCGTACCTCAAGATGGACATGAGGCGAACGGAAAGTTTGGACATTACCGATACTCTTCCTGGCCGGCGGTATCCAAAATTTCAATCTGCCAAGGAACTTCATCCACAGTGATTGTAGTAGTATAGCTGTCGTCTATAGTCTAAAGGAATGAAAATGAGTGTTGGTCGTATTGCCAATGATTTCACGATTATGATGTAGTGCAAGGCGACAGGTCTGCGGCTTGAGATCTCTTGATTTAACTACTCACAGGATCATGCCTGAGAACAAAATGGAACCAGGCGTAAGTTTACGTTACCAGGACCCACTGGGCAGTATCAACTTACATATCGATAAACTCATTCCTTATAAAATTCAACGTCATGCTCGACTTTCCGACACCGCCTTCTTCGCTCCGCAAACGTACCAAGCCAGCAGAGGAGAGAAAGAGTTACTTATGATATCAGTCAGCAAGAAACACACCCGCCACGTCTTTATCGTATGTTCCGCATAAAACGATGAATAAGAATTACCTCCAACGATCACGATAGTCAATTTGTTCGGCTTCGTTTTCGGGGAGAAGCCTAGGCCCATTGTCGGAAGTTTGGCGGATTGACTTGCAGGATATGGATGGTCTTTTTGTTGACTTGGCGAACGAAAAATTGAGGAGCCTCAGCAGAATTCGGAGTGGGTTGAGCTCACGCGTGAGGGCTTTAAATGCTACGATGTGAGCGGAGACAAGGTGATATAATTATTTGAGGTAATATCCATCGGCCAAGGCGGAACTTCGACAAGCCAGAGTTTTGTGCACCGGTTTTGTGAGTACTATAGAAAGACATTCAACCTCATTCAACTGGTGATTCAACTCGAGCTTCATCTCTCAACATGTATTCATTTGCCAAAGATGATTTGACTCTTAGACCTGTAACTGTTTAGACCAGTGTGACAATGTCAGATAGGGATGTACAAAGCGAGGTGTAAAACTTCTTCGGAGGGTGACGTGCGACACGATACAGTCACCAGTAAATGCACAGTATCAGACAGTATCATGAAAGTGATCGAGTAATTTATGCACCTCTATGGTGGGACTCTGATGAGTTTAGTGGGAGACACCAAACATAAGGAAAAGCTAAACTTAAGTCCCTCGCTCGCTTCAGCCTCGCGAGGCGGGCGTGGGACTTTGTTAAGTTTAAGGAAAAGCAGGGAAAAGCCCTTAGCTTGAACAAGCCCGGTCTGTCCTTGACGACTCTGTCAAATCTAGCCCAGCTCGCAGTTCTCAACGTATCCTTCTAAAAAGCTACTTTGGAGATGCCACCATCCAGAGCATCTCAAAAAGTAGCTTTTTAGACGGATCCAACAACATTTTTGTTTTTTTTATTTCAACCTCACATTAAAATATCAACACGGGTATCTTAGGAAGTTTGGTGTGTGTAACCATACAAAAAAATGATAACACAATCTGTTATGATTATCAAATCAACTTGTTGTACCTGATATGTTCCTGTGTTGCTGAGCGACGCTTGATGCTGTGTTCGATGTGTCCTAAACCGTTTGATGCTGACTGATGTGTTGTGTTATGACGTCATGGATATGTTTCTCTCTAAAAAGTCATAAGATAATTGTTCGACCGAAGACTTTCATCCTTCGAAATCATCTTACAATTATATTCTCTTTCGATTTATCTTTTTCTTTTTGAATCGTTATAAGTTACTCTGTCGACTTTCGAACTGTTCTAAAAAGCTCAATACTGCACGACAACTCTCTTCAACTATAAGGCCGAATCTAAATCAAACTTACATCTCTTATTGAGAAGGAAGGAGGTATAAAACATTTCTAACTTCGATCTTATAGTTATGAATTGGTTATTCGATTTCATCTTATCTAACTATTTGAATCATCTCATTTAATTGTAGACTCCTTTTCTCAATTATATTGTTTGATTTAAAATTCTCGTTATAAAGTTGAATCCTACAAGTGCAGTTATTGTTAAAGGTACTAAACCTTTTTTCTCTTTATTTCATTTCTTCTCACTTTTTGTTCGATTACTCATAATTGTTATTATTGTTAAAGAAATTAAAACATATACATTTGTCCAAAATAAAGAGAGGATCCTACCATTCACTACATGGTAGCGAGAGACTCCTCTTGGCAAATTATATTGTTATTTCTTTTACATTCGTAGATTTTTAGAACACTCGATCGTTATGGCAGACCCAACTTTCTCGACCAAAGGTACCGATAAGGGAGATAAAGACAATGAATCTTCTTCGGACTCCGATGATCACACCTCCACTAAGGTTAAGATCGTCAAGCTCACTCGAAAAAACTGGCACGAATGGCAGATTCGTTTCGACAATATTCTTGTTAGTAAAGGATACGATGATCTTCTAGATCAGAAATGGGTAAAAGCCAATGCCGATAAACCTGCTTTCAAGCGTAAGAACGCCTGGGCGATAAACAAACTCTTCGAAACTGTGTCAACAGAACTTCGAGCCATTCTCTTGAAGAACAGCAAAAGTTTCTTCAACGCATACACTGCACTCTCCAAATCTTGTGGTGTGTCCTCAATTCTGATGATCGGCATGAAAGTGCAGCATTGGATGTCTATTCGATATATCCCAGGTTCATCTATTCAGGAACACTGTGATCAGTTCTCCGGAACTTACACCTCCATCTCTGCCTCTCTCGCAGCAACTACTCCTTCAGTTTTAACTATTTCAACTGAATTAGCAGCAATCTTTTTCCTCTTAAGTTTCAACGACGATGAAGGCTTGACGCCATTAATTCAAAATTGTTGGGATTTAAAACCGTTCGATTTCGAAACTTGTTATGACAAAATGATAATGGAACATAACCGTCGCGATTCTCAAGACCAAGATGTTCTGAATTTCTCAAAAATCAAAGGAAAAAGGATCGACAAACCCAATTCCTCTGCTTCTCAAACCAAATCCCCGTCTTTCAATCCTAAGAGTATCATAACAACTAAGAAACCCTTTGTGAAGAATTTCGAATCAATTGATGAAAAAGTTGCGAGACTCGTAGCTCAACATCTCGCCAAACAAAAATCCTCCGAGGCAAATCACATTCAAGAAGACCTCAGTTCAGACGATGAACAAGTAGATCATGTAAATGATTCTGTTGAAGATAATATCGAAGACACCAGATTTATGCTCACCGACTCTATCAATTATCTCGGAAATGAAAAATTTCAGCTCGTTTATGATTCTGGAGCAACTAAATCGACCATCAACAACCTTGACTTGTTGATTGATCCCGTCCCCATCAATAAATCTTTGAACACGTACGGCGGATCTGTGGCCATCTCTCATGTTGGTAAACTCAACTTCGGTGGAACTATCATCCATCCGGTCTACTACTCCGAAAACGGTCCTCGAAATCTGATTTCGACTACTCAATTAGAAGACCATGGAATGAACATCATCCATTCTCACCGAAAGGTTCAAGTACGTCTTGGCGACAAAATCATATTCCGATTCTTTCGCGAAGGCGATCTTTACGTCTCTAAAGTTGTGTCCTCTGTCAATCTCGCTCAAGAAGTGAACCTGACAGAACCAACGGATTGGCATATCACTCTTGGCCATCCGTCGGATGTGTATCTAAGAAAATTTCTCACTCTAAATGATATCAAATCATCTGCAGTTGAAGACAGCTCCGGTTGTCTCATCTGTCTTCGCTGCAAGTTAAAAAACTCACCTCACTCAAATCCAATCCCTAGTGCAACTAGGCCTTTTGAAAAAATTCACTCCGACATTCTTCAAATAACTCCTGTGACCGGTCAAGGTATCAAATATGTATTAGTTCTGATTGATGATTTCTCACGATTCAACAGAATATACTTATTGAAAAAGAAATCTGAAGCTGCAAATCGTATATTACATTACATTGCCGAAATCAAATCCAAGACTGGCTCTAATCCCTCGTATTTTCACTCTGATCGAGGAGGAGAATTTACTTCAACTTTCCTCGTTAGCGAATTCGCAAAACTCGGAATTTCTATAGAGCAAGGTCCTGCTGATTCGCCCGAAACAAACGGTCTTTCTGAAAGGTTTAATCAAACTCTCCTAGTCAAAATCCGATGTATTCTGGCTCAATCATCAGTTCCAATAAGTTTCTGGGATGAGGCGGCTCGATATGCTTCTCAGCTCATCAATATCTTACCTTCTAAACCTTTAAAATGGAAATCCCCTTCTTTGTACGGCAACAACAAGATTCAAAAATCCAACCACCATCGTCACAAATGTTATTCCTCGGTTATGAACCATTCTCCGACGCTGGAAGATTTTTGAACTTGAAAAATCGTCACATCGTCATTAGTAGAGATTACTCGCCAACACCTTTGAAATTTCCTTACACTTCTGAATCCGTACTCAAAAAACCTGTTGAAACTCTTCCCACCCAAAAATCAACTTACAAATCCGAAAACATCATGGTCAACATCCGACCAGCAAAGAAAATTACCGCTACCGATCGTGGTACCCCGGCGATACCTTTGCCTACAATCTCAACCACTACTCGCCCTGCTGAACCTCCTCCCTCAAGCGCATCTGAAGCACTTCCTTCATCTTCATCTAAGGATCTCCCTTCTGCCTCATCGAAGAAATCTCATCACGCTTATGTGCCCTATCAGGATAAAGCCCCAAAAGACATATCTTCGAAGATCGACTCGTCAAACATCTTAAAAACCACTCGTCGCAAAACCAAAGGTGCATCTTTAGAAGAAGGAGAAGAAGAATTAGAAGTCAACCTCGCAATCGACGTCAGTCTAAGAAACGCTTTAGCTAACATCGACGAAGCGCCTAAGTGGAAAGAGGCAATGTGCAGTGAATTCAACTCACTTATTTCAAAGGAAACAGGAACTTTGGTCCCTGCACCAGATCACGATAAAGTAATTGGAGGAATGTGGAGATTGAAGAAAAAACTGAATGAGTTTGGAGAAGTATCGCGATTTAAGGCAAGATGGGTGTGTTTAGGAAACGATCAAGATGAAGGAATTCACTATTTCAGAACTTACGCGTCGGTTGCTCGTAATGAATCTTTCAAATTACTGTTGGTACTGACCGTGCAAAATAGATACTACGCCTTTCAATTTGATATTGAAACCGCGTTTTTAGAAGGTCTCATTGACGCGCCGATCTATGTTGCACAAGTAAGTGGCTTTGAAGAAATAGGAAAAGAAAATTGGGTATGGCTGCTGTACAAATCTCTTTATGGAACGAAACAAGCACCAAGACGCTGGAAGGCTAAACTTGTTGAAGTCTTACTATCAGCTGGTATGGTATCATCTCAAGGAGACGAATCGTTGTTTCTGAACAGCGACAAGACTGTTTTTCTTCATATTCACGTTGATGATGGTTTCGTAGTCAGCAAGAACAAAGATCTAATTCT